TATCCCATGTGTGGAGATGGGTGACATCGAATCATCCCGTCTTCTAGCACGTCTCCCACCCCCTTGCATCTCGAGTAGGTGGAAGTCTGCGCAAAGCGACTGAGAGGAAGTGACTAATAGAATAACACAAGGTACGAGCACGCTACCAGCACAATAAGATACTTGGAATGGATACGAATAGTGACCGTTCTCCCTCACACCTAGCACTTCACCGGGCATCGAGAATTGGAAGACAAAGACCAGTCCGCGACTGTCTGGAAGACAACTTTGTTGCATAAAAAACATACTATTTAAGTACGGTTTTCCCTGAGAAGGCGAAGCTACTCAGTCACAAGTTGGACGCCTATTTTCTTTGGTCAGCCGAAGGACAAAATCGTTCGACAAGGTTGTTCTGCACGCGCGGTAACACGAAACCAGGGTTGAAACCGAAATGCCTTCCCTTGACGACCGATGACTTTGAATGCCGATTTCCGTTTGGATTGTTCCCCATCATCGCATTCCTGCTTACTGCAATGGTGTGTCTGACTATCATCGATCTGAGCTCGTCTAAAAACGGGACAGCGTTGACCTATCCACATGCGGCTGGTTGTCCGAAACCATACTGACTTCTGCTGTCGTGAATTCAGCGTTTCCGAGGCACCCCATAGACATGTGAGCTCGTCATCACAATGGGACTCTTTCTGCGTTCTCACACTTAGATGCAGGAGTAAAACAGTGTAAGACATTTCACGACGTTACGCAAGTTGCGCACGATGTACAACAGCTTCCCCATAGCCTAGATTGACATCCTTAATATGTCAACGTCACAACCGAGAAACTCTGTGATGCGTAGATAAAGTGCCTGCTTGTGACGGGCAAAACTGCGACTTGCCTCATTCCTGTTGAATTATACGGCCGTATGCGTAAGCACGCCAGAGTTCGACCGGGCAACTGCTTGGTCGGCACTTATAGTGCTCAAAACTACCTACGATACTTTCATGGCAGACAGGCGATTAGGAGTGAGAACGTAGTCATGACAGCCACCAGACTGTTCTGCAAGTAATGAGTTCTGCGTCTCTTAAAGAAATATCGCTGCTGTCGAGTCTCATACGGTGCTGAACCTAAGGAATCCTAGTCATCTGTCAAAGTGGGTGGCAGAGGCACGGCGCTGATCATCTTAAAGCGCTTCAATACTCTCCCCCTTAGTAGCGATTGTTCCAGGGGCTGGAAACTGTCACGCATGTCCTTCAAAAACACACTTGAATCAATGCCTAATATCGAAAACCTCCGGCCTACGAACATCACGTTAGTGCTACACTGAACCATGGAGGCCATCATTATGTCAGAAGCTACAGACTATGGCACCGCCAACCACGTAATGCCTCCAGCGGATCATGGCTTCCTCAGGGCTTGTCCATCCGCGACCAGCTTTCCCACCTATCAATACGATATTACAACCGAGCGTGGCCGCGACCCATTCCCCGCCGCCTTTTCTCTGACTTCAAGGGGGCCTAAGACTTGGTGCTTCACAGTGGCCTGTTCTGCAGGTTATAATCAAACGGGTTTCACAGTCTTTTACCCTAGGCTGTTCATAGTAGTGTGGCAGGGGGCACACATTAGAGCGCTTGGATGCGAACGCATACGGCAGGGAAAGATATTCCACGATGTTACGCATGCGCCCTTGAGATGCATATGTCATGTTCTATGTAACTACATGTGTAGTAGGCAAATCCGAATTCCTCATGGTTTGATGCAGCTAGTTGTTGGGAACATTTGGCTGAGAGTACTCAGGTAACGGCCAACCGTTGATTAACTAAAGTACCATCTCCTGAAAGATGATACCCTCGATCTTCTAAAATATGTTGCCACATTAATCCCCCCTTCAACTTATCCCGGAGCTACTAAACGTCCATTGAGCGAATGCGATACAACCTGCTAACATGGTTTATACCGCTAAAACATACCATATATGATCTACAGGAAGTTGATGATCCAGTAGCAGTACAGATACCTGCTCATGCGCTCAGGCCGGTCACTCCAAGCGTTTCCGTCACCAAGGTACCTCGATAATGAGCGAAATGGCCAAGTACTACCCTCAACTCTGGTGGCACAACAGGAAAACTTTCGGGATTAGCAACCTCAGTGCAATCTGCCAGGCTGATAGCCCCAAACCAAGGTTTATCAGCGATTGAAGCGTCATGGAGGATTTCAACTTACAAAGCGTGAAACGGATTAAAACATCCCCATGGATATCACTAAATTCATTCGGCGGTCCATTACTTCCCTCTGTGATAGGATATGCCTTTGTGAAACATGTCAGCAGGGCAAGATTCACTGATGCCTGTTGGGGACTTCTTTGTTAGGTCGTGCTTAAAAATGAAGTGCATGACGTACGCAACTCGTTTGTTTTCTTTCCACTAGAGAACAGCGACCATGAAATGATTCCACTCAAGACCAGAGCTCGCGATACGCTTCGTGGCTTTGTCCGACCTGTCCCAAATGTTTGACAGGCGAACTTTGCGGCTTCATCTGTAGTCAGGCCAGTTGATATGACATCGTCTGACGATAATGAGCAGGGTAAGCTTCCAGACATACTGAGAACTTTTATCTACCCACAGAAAATTTGGTCACCGTGATGTAAACCTACTAACTGCCTTCAGTGGACACCTGAAGAGACCAAGAAAGCGCACCGCCAGATCATGAGCCCTCCTCAGTACTACAGGTCTTGATAGGTCTTGACCAAAGTATTGTGAGGTGGGAACCTGGTTAGAGTACCTGGGTTGGTGAAGGAGATTGGGCCCATCAAAACTTCTCATTACCTCCCCCGAGGTGTTATACTCCTAAATTGAAACGAATGACTAGAGGAAAAGAAGACAGGTTAACCTTGGTGCGACATATGGACTCAATACGAGCAGCTAACGGCAGTATGAGCAAGGCTGCGGCTGTAACACATTACCTCACTCAGATCGTCTCCGGGGATCAAAGTCCTTGTCCGGAGGCTGTTTTCGCTGGTGACACCCCACAAAAGAAAACTGTGTTCGTTGCGAGGGAAGATGACTTGAGACCACGAAAGAACCTCTATCCAGGCAAGTTCTGGGGTTCAGATGAGCTACATCCGAAAGCATTATCAGCCCGAGTAGATATCTTAACGAACTGGCACACTAACTGTTTAATGTGACACTAAGTCAATCGAAATCTCACAGGGACGGTAAAGACATGACCATTGTCCGGCTTGTGGAATCGCCTATTATATCTCATGGCTAAATATCGCCTTGTCATAACTTAATTGAGGCAATCGATGGGAAATCCTGGACCTTGGTTTCTTGGTTGTTGGTACTCGTCAAGAAGGGGCATCAAAAACCCTACTGTGATTCTAACTAACATCACACCGTGCTACAGTAACAGAAATCTTCAGTGGGTTATTCGTGCAAAGGCTAACGTCTTGTAAGATGGTATTAGACTTCTTGATTTGTCGTTGGAGGGTGAACAACTCCATGTATCCCAGTCCCCAGTGTTGAACTTGTTCTATAAGCCGTTTTCAAGCAGTCAGTTCTTGCTTCAAATTTCAGGCTGCCATATTACGGTGAGCAGGAACCACAAAGGTCAAAAAACTCTCCAACCTCTTCTACGAAGAATGAGTGGAGCGACTAGGCCATCTTTCAGTGTCTAATCATTCTATGGCGAGTGATCTCATTTTAAAGCACAGAATTGTGGTCAGTGATTCGGTTTTTAAATATATTCTTCACTGTTCCCTTCCAGTATCACTCATCTCAGAGGGCACTGTAGAAACGTTCATAGACTATTATCAGTATCTGGATATATGTTTCCTGTATAGAGTTGTGAACCATATCAACTGTTTCATGGGGCACATCGTCCATATCTTCCATTAGTAGTCTCAACGCAGGATTTGATTTCCACAGTAATACCACCAGGAAGGATTGAGGCAGGTTTTTGGCCTACTCCACCTGTTCCGAAAGCGTTCAGAAAATAGTTTTGGGGATGATACGATACATGTAGAGGCCGTTTTTATGGATTTAACTAAGGCATGTGACAAGATACCTCATTGCACGTCGCTCGTGTGACTGGAAATTTTCAGAATCACTCGCAATCTAAGAGCATAAACCAGAGTCCCTTGCTAGTGGAAGGCAAGGAGTAAGGATCAATTCTCAACTGTCTTCTTGAAATTCGGTAGACAGTGGGGTCCCATAATAGCACAGTCGTGAGTCCCTTGCTATTTTTCTCACACGTAAATGAGCTGTCGGCTATCACGAAATCTCCTGTGGTTCGCTACGATGTCGATGTAAGAACCTAGCAATGGATCAGGAGTAAAGATGTGAGTACACTCCAGACAGCTTGTCTACCTGGTCACAGAGACAGCTGACACCTATTAACGTAGATAAGAGCGTGAGGATACCTGTAGGGGCATACGGATACCGACTACATTGGCGGGACTCGTCTGCCCTCGTTACCGACCCATAATGACCTAAGGGTGATAGTAGGTTATGATTCGGGGCCGAAGTGCACTACCTATTAGCGGCAGCTCAGAGTCTTGGGACGCCCTGGATATTATGAAGAACGTCTGCAAAAATAATTGATAGGTTCACCATCTAAAACACGTCCCAAGCTGGATCAAAATAGAAAACTATACATGAGCGGAAAACCCCTGTCTGAGAGAGATCTCAGGCTTTATGGAAAGAGCTAAGACGGCGGCCACATTTATTATCTCTACGATGACTGGCCTGACAAGGAGGAGCAGAACGGCTTCTCTTCATCCTATCTCAGGGAGTGGGCAGATTTAACCGTGCTATACGGGACCCTAAGAAATGACTTTAAACCTGATACTTTTTCTCTTTCTCCTTTCTGTAGGCTGGGGCACCTTGGAGGATATTGAAGAAGAATATAAAAGCAAAAGACAAAGGTAGTCTCTGGAGGTACTGGTCTCCGCGTCGAGTAATCAACTCCCGAAACTGCCTTCCAGAACTAGTGTCCACGTCATTAGTTGACTCGTTCTAAAGAGACTGGGATAGCAACAAGATCTGTTGGAAAAGGATTAATATGGGCTCATAACCTTCTATCCTCAAACAATATCTGAAACTTGCATATTTCATCAAGGTCGTCACTCGCTCAATTTGTAACTGCACGTGCTACCACCTGAAACATGGTCAGGAAATGTATAAGTGAGTCCTGTGAGCCCCTGTATAACCCTTCCCTCAGAACACAAAAGCAAAAGAGTAACTTGTCACAAGAGGTTCAAAATTATCAAAAAGGTAAATCGAGTGATGTCTTGAATTGTTGGCTAGGTTAAAGAGCATCATCGCAAATTGCGAAAGGAAGCTAAAAAGAACCTAAATCGACATAATAGTAAGTATCTCAGTCATATCTTTATTTAAAAAGGAAAAGATCCAGGTATTCCTAACATTTTACCATTCAAGGAGAGCTTCCTCAAGCATGTTGAAGAAACGAAGATAAAGGTAACCCTCAGTACCATTACAATTGTCGTAGTTAGAGGAAGCAAAGCTTAAAAATTCGGAGTATTTAAACAAACCAGAGTCACTGAAGAGTGGTTCCGGAAACATGTCGAGTGCTGTAGTACAGCATGATGTTAGAGATGTCATCAAGCAGTCTGATGTTGTCTTGGAAGTCCTGGATGCCCGTGACCCAATGGGCACTCGATGTCCTGATATAGAAGAAATGGTTCTCACTGAAAAAAAGCGCCTGGTTCTACTCGTCAACAAAATAGGTATTTTTTTATTATTATCCCACTATCCCTCCAGATCTTGTACCCCGGTCAAACCTCGATGCTTGGGTGAAGTATTTGCGCCGATCGCACACCGTCTTACCATTTAAAGCTAATGTGCAACGTCAGAATAATAATTTGTCTTCCGGAAACCCATATGTCGATAAGCATGGAAAGATGTAGGTTTGTAGTTTTTATATTTTTCCAGGCCAGCGAAAGGTTATGGAACTTCTGATGTTCTTTCTCTACTTGCAAACTACTCACGTGACTCAAGTTCAGGTCTGTCTGACAAAGATAGTAGAACAAGTTTGACTGTTGGTGTTGTCGGCCTACCAAATACAGGCAAAAGTGCACTAATAAACACAATCAAACGGCAAAAGGTGTGTGTCAGTGGTAACGTCCCCGGCTTAACACGGTAGTTGTCAATATATTTATTATCATTATTATTATTTTAGTCAACCCCAGCGTATCAGAATCGACAAAAACCTTTACTTGCTTGACACTCCTGGAACTTTGGTTTCCAAATCGTGTGATGCTTCAGATCTCGTTTTGAAAAACTGCATCAGGGTAAGTACTGTAAATGATTTTCCCGATGACTACCTCAGTAAATTAATTTGTATGCTATCCGCTTACCACATCGATCTGATACATTTTATCTGATCTTGTGACTTGTCAATAGACTTCTCATTAACCAATGTAGTTGTACTTGGATACTAAACTTGTGACCGAGGGATCACCAGCATAAACCCCATCCCACCCGTGATTTAAGTGGCCAAGTAGAACCACTAGCGCTTATAAATCGAATATGATTGCCGAGTTTTACTTTAGCAAAGGACGCTAAATTGATGCGGCAGACACCAGTTAAGATACCATTCAAAGTAGAAGTACACTTTGGATACATACAGAAAAACTGTATGATTTAGCTGCAGACGTTAAACCACAATTATGTATTAGAAGTGCTGTGAAGAGAACGGTCAAATGGCACATGAGCCAAGCCAAACAGGAAACAGTTTGCCGGTTGTACCGTTTGGATGTATGTTATTTATTTGCAGTATTTTAATAATTGGTGACTCACAAAAGAACATTTAAACTCCGGAAAGCCGTCGAAGAAATTGCAAGTGGTTTGCTGTTTTGCCATATAAGTAGGTTTTAATGTAACCCCGGCGTGCTTAGAAAATCAAGACAAGGTTTTTCTGAACGTTTTTCTGTGTATGCTACAACTACTGCAGAATATTTTTGCTTTGTGTATGTAATAGGCTTGAATGATAATCCAAATGATCAGTAACGTAAGTATGCCTATTATAATTGTCTGTTCATCAACACGACCTGGATTTACTACTCAACTACTGGTTGCGACACTACGTTAGCAAAACACGTTACACCGAAAAAAGACGGGAGATAGAGAAACAAACATAATTCAGTTACTGTGTAGAAAGCAAAAGGGAGAAAACTAAGAAAATAACAATGTGATGTAACAACTAAAATAAAGATGATGTATGTGCTTCTGGACCACTAAGATAGATTGTGAACCATATCCCTTATTGTCTCCAAACATTGATTACAGTTGTCACCAGAACTGTAACTTGGAAGGCTACGTTTTTTCACATGACATTGACCAGTAGTCAGAAATATCACGAAATAATGTCATTTTAGTTTGAGTGTTTTTAACCTCTGTTTAGCCTGAACCTTCATCAGGCAACATTAACCGTCTGGGTAGATGACTAGACATGAACAACATGCCTTACCCATCTGTTGATGAAAGTATACAGTCATACCAATTGACGTCTGTCCTTGTACTCCAGACAGTCTGGCGCCTGCATTACTGACTTGGCTGTCTGAAGACCTGATTAATGTCTCTCTAAGGCAATAGCGGTCAAATACCAGGAGTTATCTTACGTTCAGCTTGAATGGCTATTTTTCGTAGCCATATAATAGAATAGAGCGAACTCTTGAGCACTACATTCGGCCTCTAGTAGGTAATAGAACGTCTGACCTACGCTGTAGGTGAAATAGGTTGGCGATAGCCAGTCGAACCTCATGTATCTGTGAATGCTCACCAGGGCTATATCTACTTCCTAATAAAGTGTAGTTGATGCACTCAACCACTTCACTCCTTATTATCAGACCAAGGTAACGATGCAAACCAGTCGTGTAACATTGATTATTTTTATCGAGGTGGTGAGAAACCCATACCAGATACTCAGAGCAACAAGAAGACTGCATGTTACCAGCCTCTTCACTTAAAATGATATCGTCAACTTTAAATCCTCAAGTGAATATGTTTACTTCACTTTATGCGTACCTGGAAATTCTGTGACCAACTCTTGTTGAGTCGTTGGTGTCGGCATTGCACTGTCGTCCACTTATCCATCACAAACTGCAGTTCGAATGATGTCAGGGAGTTTTATCTATAGCTGTCAATTTTGCTACAAAAAGCAGAATGTTCATATATAGTTATAATAGCGGGTGATGTCAACATTCGAATAAGGAAGCTAAGCTGTCGCAAATGCACTTTGGGATACCTCCGATATTCCACATAGACGAACTGACAACGACGGTCATCTCGTACAATCTTGTTCTGGCAATCACTTGTTCATGGGCAAGACAAATTTACCACGCACTCCACTGATTGGTTCTCTCTTCTTCGAGTTTGACCTCAACGTTGTCCACTTCGGTACTATTATACACAATCAATTTTTAAAAAGACACCCGTCATTAGAAATTCTAACCCCCCTCCCCCCCTGACATGTGTTCAACAGTTTTTATTACCACATCAACCTACACAATTTGACTAATAGGCATTTATTAGTTCTAGCTGGCTTTTCTTGACAAAGAAGCTCCTTAAGAAATAACTTAGTCAGTCAGTGCTTAGTGAGGCATTTATATAAATACCTGTCTAGGTTTAGGGACGCAGAATTCGACACAGTAGTTGGTCAGTTGTATTTTCAGCTGTTCTCACACTGATGTATACATTAATTGGAAATAATACATAGATAAATGAATAGTTTTTATTCGCATCTTAATTCTGAACCCATGGAACTGCTAATAAAAGTACCACACTTGTATTCAAACATACTTCAAATAGTTACTGACTTCTAAAGTGCTTTTCCTTTTTGATAGCCTGAAATGCTTCCTGATCCTGTCCCAGCTGTTGAAGCCATATTACGGCGTTGCCCAAGAAACCAGTTGATTTCTAAATATAAAATAGACGAGTATAATGATGTTTCAGACTTCCTTGTAAAGTTGGCACAGCGTATCGGTCGAATGAAAAAAGGTGGTATTCCAGATATCGTTATGGCAGCACGTTCTTTAATCAATGATTGGATTACGTAAGTCATTTTGTGTCATTATTTTATTTCCAGTGGGAAAGTTACTTATTGCACCCAACCTCCATGTGATGACGATGAGGAAGAAAATACTTCTGATTTATCATCGAAATGTAAGTTTGCTTAGAACATTCATTAACTTTCATTTTAACCAGTAGGAAACCTTATTTGTTCTTAATTCTTTACCTACCTCACTTTCTTGTTATGATAGACCCACTGTGTATTCTCTCTTCGCAAGCTATATGTAACGGAAGAGCGAGTATTTTCCTAAACTCTTGGCGGCCCTGAAACACAGGCATACCTACCGGTGGTTAACACTTGTCATATTTCTTGACCTAGAGACTGCTTTCAACTCTGTTGACCGTTGAGCTGCTGTGGCAGTCTCTGACTGAAGGGAGTTTTGAGCAAGCATATAATGCTTACCAGGGCTCTCCACTGGAACTCATGCAGCCATCTCAGGGCTTATGGAGAGTTTTCATATGAATCGACGACAACTAGTGGTGTTCGCTAGGCATGCTCACTGTCACCATTCCCACTTAGCTTCGTCACAGAGGTACTAATGGACGCAACCTTAGGTACGTCTGACTTCGCAGGGATTCACTCACTGGAAGGCATCTGGTTGACTTGGAATATACAGGCGATATTGTCCTGTTAAGTAAAAAAACTGACGCAATGCAGGGTCCTCCGGAGACACTGAGCAGAAATCTGACTATGTTTGGCATACATCTCGCACCTGGACTGATCTACAACTAATCCCTGTTTAATAATCCGGAGTGAAGTGATGAGAAGTGCCAACCACTTCACTTACAAGCTCAAACGTGGTAGTTGTTGACGAAATCTCACCTCGAATACAGAAAGCCGGTTTGGCGTTTTCCAACATGAGTCATCTGTGGGGCTAGCGAGATATCCGATTTTCTATCAAAGAATGAGTATACTGCGCTGCAGTTCGTTTTGTCCTATTGTACGGCTGTGAGACATGGTCGTTAAAAGTAGAAGACGTGAAGTGGTTTCAGCTTTTTGATCATAGGTATCCTCGCAACACTGCTCCCGTTCGGTGGAATCACCGTGTAAGCAACGTTGAGATCAGGCGAAAGGTACTAGGTAAGAAAGCCAAGTCGACTGATAGGGTTGTAAACTTTAGTCGACTGAGATGGCTTGGACACGTACTGTGCATCCCAAGCCACTGCCTACCTCGATTTGCCATGCCAGGCGAATTTGGATTAGGTTGGAAGAGGGTTCAAAGTGACAGACCAGGACGTGGCACCAGTCAATGACGTCTGTTATGGTTGGTCTAAACCATGTAGGGTGATGTAGACTGCCTGGCTGGGGTCGGTCGAACGAAGGGAGTCTGTGGTTGAGAACTCTTGGTGACAGCTGGAAGTCGGTCACAATGTCGTGGACGTGTTGACTACTTGACATCTTCTAAAGCTTGAATATTCGGGTCAACCTTCATCCTCAGATTGTTTATCCTCTCACTAGTATGTTTACTTTGATATCGCTTTTCTTATCCACCTGCTCTTTGTGTACTACTGTGAAGTGTGGCAACTTGATCCGATGCACTTGTGTGCGAGGTTTTACGTTGATTTTGTCAGTGTCAGTCACTAGATCCAACTAGTTTTCTTGCCTTGACTTGTTTAGGACTGCGGTTTTGGTGACGGCTGAAACGCAAGCTGAGCCAAACACACACTAATGCATGATCAGCGTCCAAACAAGTACTCTATATGGAGCAGCAGTCCTGTACACACCCACCTCATCGGTAGCTGATTCCAATACGATGTATTTGAATCCAGGCTAGAGTGGCGTAGGGAAGACGCTAAATTGCTCAACGGTTATGGCTGTGCCGGAAATTGATGCTGGCTAGAAATAAGTTATGATCTGCACAACGCCGCAGAAGACGATCCCTGTTATCCGGCCTGTGGTCAACTAGTCTCCATTGCCCACTTAAACACCTCTCTTCTGAATCTAAATTCTCGGTCTGCGCATTCAAGTCCCTAGCTAGCATTACGATATCTGTCGATCGCACTTAGTTGAAAAGGTCACTCAGTCTATTATAGAATGTATCCTTGGTTGCACTAAATCTCCAATCCGTCTGAGCATGGCAAAGGTGATAAAGAGACATCATTTCTCTTGCTTGTTACTTCTTACTTGAGATGAACCTTCTAACCCTACCGCGCATAGACGACTGTTGATGGGGATCCAGTCGAGTAGTGCAGCTTCGGCTTTAGCGCTTAGTGCGACACCGATCCCCGGGTATGAGCACTTGTAACATACTTTCCGAGCTGATAGATGGGGAACTTATTCAAAGCACTTCACTGGGCTATTGTATGCGGGTGTCTGAGATGCAGCGTACACAAATAGTGAGGCTTTTTGTCGTCTTGGCCAAACCTACCTGTTGTTCGATCAACATCAAGGTGCGAACGTTTAAGTTGGTGAGCTTAAACGGTACGCATGGTTCCAAACTGTACAATTCCTTGCACACATCGTAAAAAGCTTGAGATTCGTCTTAGCCAGGATTTATTTAGGTCAGGCAAACTGTCTATAATTTCTGAAGAAATGGATTCTTGATTTTAAATACTGTACCGTTTTTAAAATATATTATTTACAGGTCATCTGATGGACGTTTCGGACATCCCGATAAACGAATAAACTGGTATACTTAAAAGTGTAAATAAAAGCTTCTAAATCCTTGTTTTTTTTCAACTGGTAACAGATTGATACGTAGTATTTTTACTTGTTTTCAGTGAGTTCATGAAGAAGTTGCAACCATGTATCTACCTTTCCCTACTTCTTTTTAGTAAACGCTTGGGTTATAGTTATTGTACATAAATTTTAAAGTGTCACATTAGAAAGGACAATGAATGTCGAGGTACGTATATCAATACCCAAACTGTCTATAGTATAGGAGAAGGGACTCAGTCTGAGTGGCTGTTATTGAAAGTGAATAGGTAGGTCGTGGAATAACCGAAAGATAGATTAATGATTCTGAGGAACCACCGCGGTAAATCTTATCACATTTTTGCTTCACTTTGAACTTATTAAATGAATATCTTTCGTCTACAAAGCAATTGCTCCTTGTATAAGCACCTCATACTATAACGTTCCTATCTATGTTCCTCATCTTAAACCTCAATATCTTGTATTTTGAAGATGCTACAAAATAATATCTGTAGGTCTGCAAAAACCAAGATATCCCACTTAGTTTCGAGATAAGTTGATCGAACTAGTGCAGAATGAGCCACTACAAGTGCAAATAAGTCCTTGCGATATCAAATTTCTCGGGAAATTATGTTAGCGATCGTTTTGTTGTCGGAATTATTGATTCCCCATCAACACTAAGAGTTAACGCCATACTTAATGAATACTCCTAATGATATTACTAAGCTGTTTTTCCTCATTTTCATGATAAGCTGTTTCTCTGCGGATGATCTCTTTTACGGAAATAAAAGCTATAGGTTTTGTGCATGGTAGCTCACATACTAGCTGAAAGCCATGAATCAAAGCTATTGATCAGTTGTCTTTGCGTTCTGGTTATTATCTTATTGCGAAATCGAGTTTATTCAGTGATCAATATGAACCTTAATGGCTTGAATATCTCTTTTATCGTTGCTCCCTCTACAAAAGTACCACTTTAAAAATTACTGCATTGGAATGACTGCCAACACTTAGTTCTGCTTTCTGGATGACGCAGAGTGCATTGGGTTATCTGAATTGTGCTGTAAGTGGTTTATGTTTGTAAAATAGCACGTGTGCTAAGGTTTTTCCAGGCACCAGACTTTTAAGACTGACGTAGTTACTATTCGACTTCACTCGTTGTTGAACAGAACATAAAACTCGCTCTTTAAGATACTTTTAGGTATTTTACAGGCTGTAAACTATTTTTAGAAAACTTCACGCTACAACAATAGACCACTGGATGGTAAACTATCTATCTGGCAAGTCCTTATTGTTCACGTACTGACCGATGTCTATGTACTAAGTTTGTGATGTGACACTGCAGTGGACTTAAAGCCTGAGCAGTTCGTGTTTATATCTCCGAGAAAACATTCGTTTCTCTAAGATTGCGGATACACTTTACTGCCTGAAGAAATAACCTAGATCCTGCCGCTTAAGACCGAACAACTGTTCTGTATAGTCTACCAAGACATAGTTTGATTACTTCAAGGTGAATAAGTAATATATGGGAAGCTTGATTCATAAAGTGAGAATTAGGGTGTTGCTACCCTTAGAATATCTCCTGCAAGTGCTCAAGTTCCGGGCATTAAGTCATACACATAAGGAACTTCGTTTGCAATCAGAAGTTGCTATGAAACTTTAAAAATTATAAAAACCCACAGGTAAGCATGCTTGTGTCTTAGCGAGATATGGTTGTTGACTACGATGATGCATAAAACTTCACGGGATTACTCTTTCATCGTGTAAACTATTAATATTGACTTTTATGTGCTGTACTCCAGGATCCCGATCTGAACTGTTGCACCCTATGTGCAAGGTTTTGCGTTCGCTTGTTGATCAAAAATATTAACTCAAGACATCAAAATGCTGCTTCTAGTAATCGGATTCTAATGGAAAGCGGTTTGCAGAGACGCAGAACATTTCCAAACTTTTTAGAAGTGCATTGCTCGAAATGCTGGATATCTTCAGAAAACGCCTTACTGTCCATCTCTGTGCTGGACCGTAAGAGCCTCCCTCTTCTTAATTTTTGGTGTGTAGGACAGGCTTCAAGTTTGTAACCTATCTCCCTTTATAAATCCCAAGCCTATTATTCCTAAAGGTATCTGCAAAAACGAATTGCAAAAGCCATGTTGAAAACAGCTAGGATTTCACGACTGTACTATTCAAGCCTTTTAATATGACTCAATGTTATCCTTTAAATTCCACGGAACTTAATAATACAGAATCTGTTCCCAACACATGGACTTCGCAAAATGGTCTCCAGTGATCATAATCTGCCAACAATATTTTAAACGAAGTTTCTGGCACCAGATAATATTCAATTTTATTACAAAGTACCAACACTGACCAAGTTGCTTTTGCATGCGAAACAAACAGCTATTAAATATGATAGCAACTCTGCAGATGGGTAGTACTGTGTTGTGGCAAGCAATGTGGCTGAAAGTAGTGACTAAACGTTACTGAACACATTCTCATAGTTATCTTCAGTATGACCCAATAGATGTATGTAAAATGACGTATAAGCCTCCACTGGAAGTATTCAGGCACCCATAAGAACCAGATATTCCGGACGAGATCCAACTATACAGATGAATTTATTCATTGTTCTAGACAACTCAACTAACCTGTCGAGTTGCTTAGATGAGTCCTGAACACAACCAAACTGGTCCGCTTATGATTGTTACAAGACGTCTCTCCCCTCTTTTACTCTGGAATGATCAATGAAGTAGATTAGTCTGAAGGGACTAACCCTGATTCTCACAATACATCTATTATTCTATCCAGCCATTTCCTATTTCCATTCATAGAAACTGCGATTGGCGAACGGTCAGGTCCGGCCGTTCTGGATCGTTTCAGGTTAGAAACAGCCTTCTCAACTTTGATATGAGTTCAAGGACTTACACCAACGTCCCATCCAAGCTGTACACTGTGGGACTGAAGCGTTGCTGTTGACCAGTTGGACTGTTCTTCACCAACCCGTGCCAGATGCCTGTCCTTGGAGAGGCTATTAGCGTCCCATCCTTTTCGATGGTTGTTTCATTTACCACCGTTTTCTTGCCGGCTTGCTTAATGAGTCCAAGTAGTTGCTAGGTTTTTCCCAACGCTGATGCCGTCTTCATTTCTAATTTTTATGACTTACCACTGCGCAAGAACTCTAAGTCCAGAATGCCTTTTTGATTAGCTCATTTTCCCTACTTGAACGTTAAAGGTACCTGCCTTTATGACTATATCCGAACGTCTTGTTTTCTTTCCTATAGCAGAACTGACAGCTTTTGGTGGGAATTCATCTTTTATATCATACAAAATGGAGTCAGTGGGCCCATAGGCGGAGACTACTAACAGGTACTGGCTCGTCCCAAGATCCTTCCAAGTTTATATAGTTCCATTCAGTCGAATAGCACACAGCTGTCTCGTGACTGGTGTCCAGTCGTAAAGCGTACTTTCTGCTCTACAAAACAATCCTATATCTACACTAGCCAGTCCATGAGCACTAGCCACCGGGTCTCCGCATACTCGTAAAGTGAATTTTCAAGATTCACTCCAATGACCAGGTGGGTTCAATTTAATAAGCACACTCGGATTCTGCATATGTTCCTCAGAAACTGCATAGATCAGTGGCTCGAGATTCTAGCGGACAATATCTGCTGTCAGATTCAGCATAGGGTTTGGACGTTGAGACCTCCAACATGAAATCGATAGCGCTCCTCAAGAGAGTAGAAATGAGGTTTCGGTAGCAAAGTGAAAAGGTTGTGAAAGTTGCAATAGACTCAATATTTGCGTAAGGAGGTGAAAGCAAGGGAGATGGATGGAACTGCCCCCCAGCCATTATTCCGCTGCTCACTATCCAGTCGTATCTTAAATGAAAACAATGTCAAGGGGCCGGCAGGATTCGTAAAAGCCGTAAACAAGCTCTAACGAGGAAGGCAGATAAGCTAGCACCGGGGGTTTTTAAGAATGGCAATCGGGGATTACTGCTTGGTTTAACTGAAGTGCTAGCTAGCGCATAGGAATAAGATATGATACCCTCTGAATGGACATGGTCTGCAGGACAGAAATCTTTCTGTGGCTACCAAAGAGAAATTCGGATGAGCATAGCCCCTATAATCATAAGGTGTCTAGGTGGAGCCATCCAATAGAAAACCAGACAGGTTTCAGACCTAGCCATGTGTATGGACCAGACATTTACCCTTCGCCAGGTCCTGAGACGCGCCCGACAACAGCTATATTTCTGAAAGCAGGCACTACTGAGAGGCATTATGGCTGTCTCACTGGAAAGGGTTTCGGGTGAGTACACCCCACTGTTGAGGGCTCTGTACTAGAACACCCACTGGCGTATGAGCCTATGGTGAGGTGTTCGTCCAATTGTGCACGTTGAGTGCTGCCCGTCGAGGATGTTCATTTTCTCTATCTATAGGAAAATCTCTCATAATTGTGTTTATGAAGGTTTTACTACCTCTCCTCTGACGCTACAGGGTTTGACCCTGTCACGTGAGACTCATTAAATCTGGAGTTAGAATAAGAAACATGAAAGGATCACCGATATCCGGATTAATTACAGAAGCAGTGATGCAGAGAATAGGAGCCATCATTCTACCTGTGATTAAACGAAAAATTTGCATTCGCTATGCGGACGACACTTTTGTCATCATTAAAAAAGGTGACATCGAAAACACTCACAGTTTGGTCAACAACATTTTCAATGACATCAAATTCACAATAGAGAAAGAGTCAAACAACCAAATACCATTCCTGGATGTTTTAGTCAGTAGGACAAATGCTGGAAACTCAAGTGTACAGGAGGCCGACACACACTGATCAAATCCTCAACTATAGTAGCAACAACCCAGAAATGCACAAAATTAGTTGCGTGCAGACTCTATTCAAAAGAGCGAGAACACACTGTGGCACAACAACTTTACGGGGAAACGAGGAAAACCACTTGACTTCCATTTGAAAGAAGAACCGCTACCCACGAAACTTCATCAGAAGATCCTGTACATCAACTACAAAACCATCGGCAGAAATCAATAAACTCATCATCCTACCGTACATAAAGAATATATCAGAAATCATGACAAGACTACTGAAATCGTTTGAAATTGATGCGGCTTACAGACCAATAAATTCCCTTCAAACACTATTATGCAGACTAAAGAAGACAAACCGAATACCATCTACAAAATCAACTGCAATAACTGTATTCAACACTACATTGGACAGTGGTCGCCCCCTTAGCCTTCGTTTACATGAACACCAATTGGCTATTAAACGCCACGACATTTCGTCACTCATTTCAATGCACGTGGATAACTATGGACATGAATTCAATTTCGACAACGTAGAAATTTTGGATAGAGGAAACGAATTCCCGGAAGCTTGGCATTCGGGTTAATCAGCAATCTGTAGATATACAGACAGACCCAATCTATCGACCAATGAAGAAAATGATAAACGACAGAGAGGTGCTGAAGATGTCTAGGAAGACGAAGAAAGCTCCACGATTAAACAACCCAGCTCAGAGAACACAGTGCAACCAAGATAGATGACACTGTCTTGTTGGGACAAGACTCGGAAAATCCTGGATACATTGAGTGGAAATTTGAAAATGTGTAGAGTACGTCTCTCATCGCCCAACGTTTTAGTCTAGAACTGGTCTGCGTTGGCACCCCGCCTAACAATAGAGAGTAGTTGAATGTATTGACAATTCCACTTACCTGGAAGGTGGGCTGGTGACAGACGGATTTCCAACATGGATTAAAGAAAGACCTGCCTAGTTTTTATCAACTTATGCCATTCACAGTACAGAAGAGATCTATATCCAGTTACCTATTAGGGTTGTGGAACGGAACAACTAAAGGTAGAAGACATGTTTGATCTCTATTGCTTCCATAGTACGAGCTGTGTATTGTGGTACTAACATGTCAGCGACGTAGAAGTCAGGCGTACAGTTTCGGGTACAGGAGGAAAGTCAGTCGTCAGATGGCTGGGATGTATGTTATACATCCCTAGTCACCATCTGCCTCTTTGCTCAATCTTGGTTGAAGTAGGCTTCGGCTGGTTAGAGGTGGCATCATTCCCTCAAGATAGGAAAATGAAAATGTACTTAGCAGCCTAGTGCAGCAGGCAATGAGCCATATCTATTGTGTGCGAGTTGATAATTCTACCTCGGTAAGTGAAGCGGTATTTGAACCCCTGACGCCTTGGTTGAAAGCCATCTTTCTAAGTCGATGAGCCACAGCTCCTGAGCCGTGTGAAGAAATAGACTTTTCTGTCGGGATTTGTGATAACCGAAACCATTGGTTGGAGACTCTAGGTGATATGACTTAGCATTGATGTCAGTAGCTCAAACGGATCTTCATTCTAATGATCATACTGATTTTCATCTTTTCTTTTCACGACTCTCCATCACCTAGACTACTTTTTTCCTTATTTTGCCACCTTTTGTCTTAATGCCTTTTACCTTGATGTGGTGATAAAACATGTAGTAACTCGGGATGTTATTCAGTAATACGAGGTCCTACGTTGATCTTGGTTGAGACCATTTATGTTGTCTAAATTTCCGACCTTTATTTCATCATGTATATAACATTCGATCAGCAGTCTTATCTCCCGACACTCAATCCAACGAAGTGAGTCAATAAGTATCATAAAAGTTGGGAACATTTATTTGGCAACATGAGTCATTTGTTTAGTAATTAAAAATCAACTCAGTGTATCTTTTTTAACACCAATATACGTTTCAGCGGAATTAGAATGACGAATTGTAACTTATTTCCAGAGCCTTTTATTCACTTCCAACCATCATAACATTCTTTTTCGATTCCACTTCCCCTCTCATTGTTTTGCAGTGTGGCAACTTGGACTGATGCACTTTTGTGCAATATTCTACGTTTGTTTGCAGGTCCAAAAAATGTTTGGACAAAGAAATTACATGGAGGCATTTTTATCGATATCACCTGAATGTTGATTAATTTAACAGTCCGGAAAGTATTCTAAATATTAGTAAGAGTATCAAGGATTTTTGTCTATCATAATCACGCCAAACTTCGAAATTCCGCAAGAAATGACATGTGCATATTCTACAATCTCATAATAAATAAATAACTGATAAATATATGAAGTTATATAGAACTCCTACGTATGGAATTCACAAAACAGAATTTGCAGTTATAAACATAGTCTTTTAAATTATTTGGTCCAAGAAACTTTCTGTATATCAAAGTGTTCTGTAAGAGTACTCAGATAGTTGTTGAACTCAATGATTCTCTGTTTATGTGACTTATCAGCTTTTGATAACACAGACTCAAGGATGCGTTTATCTCTACGTTTTTCCCATTCCATTTGTGATTTAGTTAAGCTGACACTGGCAGGATTCGGCTTCGCTGCCTCTTTTTCAGTTTCTTTATTTAAATTTACTTCTGGAGTTTCAGCTGTCACATCTGGGTTAGTTGATGCAACCTTTTTGGTGTGCTTTTTCTTTTTTCTAAAAACTATATAAAAATATCGTAACCTACTTTTTTATTCCCTGACCAGACTTCAGTTTTAGCGAACTGCATAAAACATTATCATACTCCGACATTTGCACCACGATTTCAGGATGCTAAGCCAAGTTGATTCACGTTGAAGTCCTGGAGAAACAAAATATACCACACTTTACAATGAATCAGTAGTGTTTCAAGACCTAGATAAATATAAGTATCCAGTTCTCTGAATTTACTTGCCCAACACTTTGAATAGTTCTTTAAAAAGATGCGTAACCCCCCCCCGCCAAAAAACAACTAATTTTTAGACCTGTTAGCTAATGGTCTGAGAAACTTAACTCTGATGACTGCATCACAACTAGGATAACCTGTCAATATATATGATGTACACATTCGCCACACCTTTCCGCAAGAGATACTTTCTTAAGAGCTCTTGGTCTACGGAGTCGAATGCCACCCAGTCGCATGCCATTAATGTCTATATTCCTAGATAATTTAAAAGTATTTGATACTTAGAAACGCAATATGACTAACCGATTGACGAGAAAAGTTACGATTGGCTGTGTACATACACATGGAAGGTTGCTTAATTGATGCAGTAGTGATCCTAATTAAAAGGGTACCTCAAGGTTTCATTCTTGACCCATTACTGTCTATTATTTCTATAAATAACTCTAAACCATTGTTGTATACAGATGAAATCGAATCGAAATCTGCTCAGCAACCATTCGCGTTCGTGCAGAAAGTAGGGAGGGTGACTAATTATAACACTTGGTTGTTGAGACGCCAGTAGGTCGAATTGAGCAGGAACTCGTGACCCATCGGTTGAAGTGTCCACATCAATGAGCCATAGCTCCACTTTAAGGGAAATAAACAGGTCAAAGGATGTCATCGTCCTTCAGCAGTACCTAACCAGAACCCAAAGGTGAGCGAATGGGAATCTGCTCCCGTTTAACACGAACTCGTGTAGGGTAGTGAACGCGTATACGTCTGATTGTTTCTGATTGCCTGGGTGGAATAAATACAACACGAAAGGACCCCACGGTCAACCTATAATCACCTCCCAAAACAAAACACCTGACCGAACTAATATCATCACAACTTCAGATGACTTAATGTAGTAGCATTCCGGGAGGCTCTAGAACAAATAGATTGGGAAGCTGACCGTGAGTGGTAGGATAAAAGTACCATACACGACAAAATGATCGATATAATAAGCTAGTCTATCCCACTCTTAACTTTGAAGTGTCACAAACAGCGTACGGCAGTACGCAAAGGAACCCATCAGTTTGAGGTCATATGGATACCAATGCGTTGAGCGTAAGAACAGCAATTGAGTCTATTTACAAACACTTCAAGCAAGTGAGAAATTTTTGTATCACGGCCTTGAGAGGCCAAAAACATTGGTGCCCACCTCAGCTCACTAATAAGTTTGCATCAAGTCCGAAAAGTCTTTTTGCTACGCAGCATCATTTTGCCAGATCAAGAGAAGAATTTCCCACGGAATGGATCCGAGTGGTGACACTTAGCTAAGTGTAGATGGTATAGCTTTCAGTTGGTGATTGTTTACTAGATTTTCCATCAATGACTGCTTCTGTAAATAGTTATCAGCGTCCACAGAATCAATACGATTACCAACTGCTGATCTAGTGTGACATGTCACAGTATCCGGATAAAGTTCATGCTGCTATCACAAAGCTGCGCTATGTTTCGTTGAACTCTTTAAGCGATTATTCATGCATGAATGATCAGCGTCGTATAGAAGAAACTGGATTTCTTCTTCAGGTCAAAAAGTGAGAGAACAGACACTAACAACCGGATTCCTCTCTTCTACTTATCCTTTGTTTTTTATGTCCTTATTTCGAGAAGCAGAAAGTCTTTTACTGATTCTTAGTGTAAAATCCAGTTGCGTGAAATCCTCTGCTGTTAGCATTCCCCATGTAAATACTCCGATTAAAACCCAACTTACCAGGAAGAAATTTTTTGAAATAGCACGTAAGTGTACGACATCCAACAACCTTGAAACTTCAACATCTGTAGTGCGAGTAGAGGAAACGTGCAGTTTTGAGATCTCGCTTCTAGGTCTTGAGGCTCGATCCTTTTTGTTCTGCCGTACTCCGTTAATGGTCGTAGAAGCCTTCGCGCTTTGCTGCTTATAACGCTGGAGGTAGTGTTTGTTTATTTGAGGGTGTTTCATCTGCAAATTGTATCTTGGTTTGTTCTGCGGGGCAACGGAGCTGCTGATAAGATCAATCAATTGTTTTCAATTCCTGTTATTGTAAGCACCTGCAAGCAAGTGTTAAGCGTTACTTAAATAGTGATAAAAACTGGGTGAGTGGGGAATGAGAAAAAGAGAAGTGGAAAGTACTTTTGGAAGGATAAATGTAACTGGTAATAACATGGAGGAGAGGTGTGTCTTACTGCAGATAATAGGGTTGATGAATACAAGGGGAATATAGGGGTAGAAGGGCGTATGACCGGTTGCTACTAACAAATGTTCGCGGTAAGCCAATTGCGCTCACGTACTCGTCCAGTAGTCGTTTGAAATTGACTGATTTAGCTGTGGAAGCGCATTCCATAAGCCACATACTCTGTGGCAGAGGAGGTTAGATCTCACTCTAGTCTTTACCCCATGGTGAGGATGTGAATGGGGTTCCCATGGGACCCTCGGTTTTGGACCGATTATGTTGCCCTATTTGGGTGGTCCACTTGCTGACTGGTCTTGTGGGCTGTTATCAGATCACCTTGTTTTCTTCGATGGCTTAGTGTGAGTAAGTTGAGCTGTCTGAGGCATTTTCTTGCCAGTTGTGACCTGTCTTGTTCAGCGGGGCAAATGAGCTGCTGGTAAGAACAATCATGGTTTGCGGCTCCCGTTCTTGTGGGCACCTGCAGATAAGTGTTAAGTGCTACTTAAAAAGTGACAGAACCAGAGTGTGGTGAATTCGGACAGCAGGAGGGAAAAGTTATCATGAAGGGTAAATGTAACCGGTAATAATCTGGGGGAGAGATCCGTCCTATTGCAGATACTAGGGCTGGGGAATAAGAGGATAGAAGGGCGTATCATCACTTGCTACTGACAAATGTTCGTGGCAAGCCATTTGCTCCCAGATACTCACCTAGTAGTGGTTTGAAGTTGCTGACTGATATAGCTGTTGCCACTTACTTCGACAGAACGTTCCATAAGGCACATACTCAATGGGAGAAGAAGTAGGATCTTACTCTAGTCTTTTCCCTATGGTGAGGTATGCGGATAGGATCTGTTGTTGACGGAAGCCTCCCGAGTACAACTTACCGTGCCACAAGACTCTAAATGAGCACGTAACCTCCTTTTGAGGGTAATAAATGAGGGGTTTGCAATAACTTTTGCAGGATGGCAGTTTCACGGCTTACATACCCCAACTGCAATAGAGTTAGTATGGATATTTGTATGTGCTCTCCCATGTTCTACTCTTAACTGGTGACCCCTAGAGTAGCTATCCTGGTTGACACCTACGAGGAATCTGTTAGGATAAAGGGGATTATGGGCACGGAACTAGGAAGATCATGACCATATCCTGTCTGATCCTCCGATATTGTACTGGATGCAGCCTAAGAGTGACTTGGCGATCCAGGTAAGGTTTGTACCGTAACCCAACCTCTTTCTTCGCGGCTCTTCTCTGAACCCGTTTTGGGATACTAAAGTCCTTCTTTAAGCAAAAGGGCATTATGAGAGGACTTTTTCAGCATAACAACTTATTGTAAAAGTGACTTTAATCTTAAAACACCCTCATTGCAGAATCAGTGGCAGAAAGTTATCAGGATTTTATCCACATGTCAATGAAAAATCCTCTTTTTATGCAACGGTCACAGCTCTTGTATTAGTTTCGAAAGATCCGAAACGCTAAAGACGAATAATGATAATGTCCACTTTATTCCAAACAAGTTCAGGTACAATCTGGAATCCGTGGTATTCTCAGCTCTCCTCAGGGGCTTATGAATATCCCACAAATGAAGTAAAACTCTCGGTGGTCGACCCAGACGTTGAACTAATACAGAGCAAACTGCTGCTGCTCACAAAAGGCACCTATCCGGGACCAGATAAAATACATGCTGCTGTACTGCAGGAAGCAGCATTGGTCCTGTCCAAACATTTAAGTAAGTTCCTTGAGAATTCTGTAAGCCGGGGGAAAGTACCCGACTCTTAGAAGTTGAGGCACATAACGCCAATCTTCAAGGGGGGTCAAGGAAGCAATCCAGAGAAACACAGACCGGTGACACTTCTATCCAAACCTTCCAAAATAATGTAATCGCTGATATATGATGGACTTAGAAATTACCTCACAGAGATCAACTTATCTGCACCCCAACAACATGGGTTTCAAAAGGGGTACCCATGCACCACTAATCTGCTAACTCAGTGGATGGGCGAACTAGCATTGCTGACCGCCGAAGACGAATTGATGTCATCCGCCTAGACTTTGCCAATGCGTTTGTTCGTTTCAATCACGACTGCCTCATTGATAAGCTGTAATTAACCAGAATACAACCACTACTCATCGACTAGTTGTCTTCTAATCTACGAGGCCGTCACTTGGAGTTCGAGCGAGTTTCCCTACGTTCGAAGGAAACGCATTTCAAGGGAACTTGACTTTATTTTCTCTTGAACAATTCGATCGTAGATGCTTCCACTAAATTTTCGACAGCCTCATACGGCTGTCTTCCAGAGTTCGGGACCATCGTCTTTTTACATTTTACAGATCCTAACAGCAGATGATTTGGCCCGGGTATTACTGTTTCTTTTTTAAATGCTGTACGACCCCCAAAACGGGGTTGCTAGACAATGATTTGAGGGGGATCTTTGCGAATAAAGTTAACTGTTACCTGTCAGCTTCCACTTGACGTTCTTGAAGTTTCGTTCTGTTCGCTTAATTTTGCACTCGCTTTTAACGGAGAGGTCTTATATATTTACTGGTTCAGTTGGGTGTGCGAATGCGCGACAGAACTGCTGGTAAGAAACAGGTTTTTCTCACTACCTCTGTATCCGTTAGTGCCTTGCGATGGACAGAATGTGTAGAAGCAAGCAGGTGGGCAAGAGGGCAACAAAAAGTGATTGCCAGAG